AAATTAATTTAAATTCTAAATTTCCCCCCCTTTCTGAGCTTGGCCCTACTTCAGGCTGGAAAACTGGCAGAAGTTTCTGACCCCTCTGGGTTGGGTCGAGGAGAGGTAAAATGGGGTAGAGAGCAGTGGCCGGTGCTGCTGTAATTGGGCCACCATGTGGCAACAGTCGTCTGTGGAGGTGGTGTGCACAAGGGGGGCCCTTCTTCTCATTGTAGTTTTGACTTGCATTTGTCTAATAATTAGCAATGTTGAGCATCTTTTCATGTGCCTATTGGCATCTTTATGTTTTCTTTAGAGAAATGTCTATTTAAATCTTCTGCCCATTTTTGGATAGGGTTATTTGGGTTTTTTTTGTTATTGAGTTGTATGAGCTGTTTGTGTATTTTGGAAATTAAGCCCTTGTCAATTGCATCATCTGCGAATTATTTTCTCCCATTCTGTGAGTTGTCTTTTCATTTTCCTTATGGTTTCCTTTGCTGTGCAAAAGCTTTTAAGTCCCATTTGTTTATTTTCATTTTTATTTCTAGTGCCTTGGGAGACTGACCTAAGAAAACATTGGTATGATTTACGTCAGAATGTTTTGCCTGTGTTCTCTTCTAGGAGTTTTATGGTGTTGTGCCTTATGTTTAAGTCTTTAAGCCATTTTGAGTTTATTTTTGTGCATGGTGAAAGGGTGTATTCTAACTTCATTGATTTACATGTGGCTGTCCAACTTTCCCAGCACCACTTGATGAAGACTTTTTCCCATTGTATATTCTTGCCTCCTTTGTCAAAGATTAATTGACTGTAGGTGTGTGGGTTTATTTCAGGGCTCTCTCTCTATTCTGTTCCATTGATCTGTATGTCTGTTTTTGTGCCAGTACCACGCTGTTTGGATTACTGTAGATTTGTATAGTATCTTCTGAAGTCTGGGAGGGTTATGCCTCTGGCTTTGTTCTTTTTCTTCAGGATTGCTTTGGTGATTCTGTGTCTTTTTGGTTTATATGAATTTTAGGATTATTTTTTCTAGTTGCATGAAAAAGGTCATGCGTAATTTGATAGGGATTGCATTAAATCTGTAGACTGCTTTGGGTAGTATGGCCATTTTAACAATATTCTTCCAATTCAAAAGCATGAGATATCTTTCCATTTCCTTGAATCATATTCAAATTCTTCTATTAATGTTTTATAATTCTCAGCATATAAGTCTTTCGCCTCCTTGGTCAGCATTATTTCTAAGTATTTTATTTTTGGGGGTGTGATTTTAAAAGATATTGTTTTTTTACATTCCCTTTCTGATATTTCATTGTTGGCATAAAGAAATGCAGCCAATTTCTGTACGTTAATCTTGTATCCTGCTACCTTGCTGAATTCGTTTATCAGTTCTAGTAATTTTTCTGTGGAGTCTTTAGGGTTTTCTACATATAATATCATACCAGCTGCATATAATGATAATTTTACCTCTTCCCTTCCAATTTGGATATCTTTTATTTCTTTTTCTTGTCTGACTGCTGTGGCTAGGACTTCCAATACTATGTTGAATAGAAGAGGTGAGAGTGGGGATCCTTGTCTTGTTCCAGGTTTTATCAGGAAGGATTTCAGCTTTTCACCAGTGAGTATTATATTGGATGTGGATTTGTCATAAATAGCTTTTATTGTCTTGAAATCTGTTCCCTCTATACCCACATATTAATTTTATGATGGGTAAAAAAAATCATTGGGATTTTGATAGGGAATATATTTTCCCATCCTTTTGCTTCCAACTTATGCATGTCTTTAGATAAAGTGAGTCTCTTTAAGACAGCGTATACTTGGGTCATGTTTTTTATCCATTATGTCAATTTACGTCTTTTGACCGGGGAGTTTAATCCATTTACATTTAAAGTAATTACTGCTAGGGATGGCAAAATTACTTTTGCCATTTTTTCTTTATATTGTACAGCATTTTTTTTTGTCCCTCATTTCCTCTATTACTGCCTTCTTTTCTGTTTACTTTCTTTGTAATGACACGTTTTGATTATTTTTCATTTCCTTTTGTGCATATTCTATAGATACTTTCTTTGTGGTTAGCACGTGGACTCCACATAACATCCTAAAGTTATAACAATCTAATCTGAATTAATACCAGTTTCTGCAACCCCATACAAAAACTCTACCCCTTTACAGATCCACTCCCCTTTATGTTAATGAAGTCACAAATTCAGCTTTATATATTGTACTCATTAACATAAATTTTTTATGCATTTGTCTTCTAAATCCTCTAGGAAAAGAGTGGAGTTGTAACCCAAAATCACAATGTTGATTTTTCTGTTGTTCCATATATTTGCCTTTATTATATTTATATTTTCATATGATTTCCATTCAATGTCCAGAGTCCTTTTAACTTGAAGCATTTCTTGCAGGGCAGGTCAAGTGGTAATGAACTCCCTCAGCTTTTATTTATCTGGAAATGTCTTAATTTCTCCCTCATTTTTGTAGAATAGATTTACTATGTACTATGATTATAGTATGTCTCCGTGTTTTCTCTGAGTTTATCCTACCTGGAATTCTTTAAGCTTCTGGAATTTGTCAATCCATGACTACAAATTTGGGAAATAACTGACCATTATTTTTTCAAATGATCTCTCAGAAATTTTCTTTCTTCTTCAGGGATTCACAAATGTATATACTGGGCTGTTTGATGATGTCATGTAAGTCCCTTTGGCTCTGTTCACTTTTCTTCATTCTTTCTGCTCCTTGGACTTGACTTGATAATTTCAAATGACCTGTCCCCAAGTTTGCTGATTTATTCCTCTGCCTATTTGAACCTGCTGTTGAACCCCTCTAGTGAATTTTTCGATTCACTTATTTTTCAGCTCTAGAATTATTGTTGGTTCTTTTAAACTAATTTTTTATCCTTTTGTTGATAATCTTATTTTGTTCATATATCATTTTCTGGCTTCTTTTAGCTCTTTGTCTATGTTCTCCTTCAGCTCTTTGAGCATATTTAAAACAGGTGTTTTAAACTCTTAGTTTAGTACATCCAGTGTCTGTGTTTCTTCAGGGATGGTTTCTTCCAATTAATTTTCTCCTTCTGAATGGGAAAAATGAGAAATGTTTTCCTGTTTCTATGTATGCTTTGTGATTTGTGTGTGTGTGGCGGGGTGCTGAAAATTAGGTACTTTAAAGAGTAGCCTCTCCCAGTCTTTGCAGAAGAGCATATTTTAATCCTTGGGATCAGCATGGGGTTCAAGGTCTTTCTTTGGCATGCATCTTGCCTGGACCCTTGTTGATGCTTTTCTCCATCTCCCCATATACATTCCTGCTTTTTAAAGTCTTGTTTTCCCTAGAAGTCTCATCTCAGCCACTTTTCAGGGCCTTCTATTGTATTCCACTACCTGTAATCTCTTGCATCCGGCTACTCCAGGTCTGTAGTTCCTCTGCAGCTTTAACAAGCAGTGTCTGATGCTTCCCAGGGCTTTCCCCAGCTATACCCTTTTCCTTCTGAGCTCTGAATTAAGTGAAAAAGACCAGTCCTTCACACAGCTTCCAAACAGATTAAAAGGTTACAAACAAGATCTGCTCTGCTCCTTCTGATTAAAGATAAGAACTGGGAATGGGGCAGCTACTTCCTCCCACCTGTGCTGTACCAGGTTTGGGGTGAGGCAAGGTTAAGTAAAAACACTGAAATTTCCTACCACTTTGAACATGGCTTTTTCTTAACTTGGCTTTCACTTGGTTAATTTAAACCTTTGGCTGTTTTCCAGACCTCTATAAAGTTATTTCATCCAGGCTCTAGTTGCTGGTTTCATGTTTCCATGGGGGAACAAAGGTCTGGAGCTTCCTAGTCCACTAGCTTCCTCTAGAACCAATGTTCTTAAATATGTCTTATACCAACAAGAATAAGTCACATTAAGTTTAAGTGGTTTTAGAACTAGAGGAAATGTTGATCCAAATCTATTACCGTAAGGATAGTATGTTGATTCCTTGATACATTATATGCTAAGCTAATTAATTATTTTGAATTGTTTTTCCCATTATGCCATGACATAAAAAGTCTGCTCCCACTACCCCACCAAGATCCAAACCACAGATATGAAACTCTTTAGTGCTGTTAAAAATGTAGAATCAAACAAAATTTGTACTGTTCTAGAGCAATGCTATTTAAAGCTGGTTCTCACTGAGATATAAGGAGCTTGTACCACAATGTAAATAACACATTGCTTTCTTCATCTTGAAAATCTTGCTATGAAAAAACCATGTAGTTATTGATGTACTGTATTTACATTTTGATGTAATCTCCTTATCTCATTGTGGAACAGTAACAAACCCCATGGCAACTCTTTTGCAGTCTAAGTAGGACTGTTTCAGAGCACTTTTAATTATTGCCTTACTTCAACTTTTCCATAGACTATTTTCCTATAGTTGCAGAAGTAAAATAGATAAAAATCTGAAAGGTGTTTCATGTTACAGAGCCTTAACTTTTGTGCCTTTTAAATGTAAAGTAAAAATAGAACATAACTTACTTTATAGGTGAATTTAATTATTTCATCTTCTAAGAGTTAACAACTAAGGTTATTTACATAATATGATTTAACCCATGATAGTTCCAAACCCATGTAAAACCTACATTGCAATGGAGCTTAATTACATTTATGACTTTAAGGTAGATATTAAAATAATAATTTTTGCTCTTTGTAGACTTAAATAAGTGAATGCCTTTTCTAGAAGAAATTGACTAAAGCTAAAATTCATCTCCCTAAAAAGCCATGAAACGTCAAAGTGTACATCACTCTACATATTCTCTTTAAAATGTTCTATTCTGAATCTTTTAAAGTGTTTAGCCTAAAACAGATTTGTATTATAAACCAGGCTGTTAGGAATTGGAACAACCAAATGACAAAATTTAAGGATTTTCTTTTTTCAGATTTTAGAGCTCATTTTATCTGTGATTATCTTGTTTTGTACAACTGACTTCAATACAACAGTGCTGCAATGGGAATTCAACAAGGCCTCAAAAAGCAGAATATAGAGACTAGCACTCCTTTTCAGTGGTTCCTTTTATTTAAACTTTTACATTTGATAAGACTGCCTATTAATTTTTTTTTACAAATTAGTCTTCCTGCATCAAAACGTATATTTAATTGAAGGCTACATTCACACAGAAAGTAAACTTCAAAGTCCTCAAAAGTCAATAAAGCAGGCAGCCAAGAAATTTACTGTTCTACTACAGTTACTTTTGCAAAACTCATTAGTGTGGTAGAATAATATCCAAGGACATTAGGAAGTTGGAATATGAAATCTATTTCATTCTGATAAATCTAATAATTTAATAAACAGTACTCTCTAGTGCTGACAATTCATTCTTATTTCTCTAAGTTTACCCAATACTGCTCCTGCTAAATAACAAACTTTTACCCCAGTGAAGTAAGTGCTGCCAAGAGAAGGGATTGGTTCTTGTGCTGCTGGGCATCCACACTAAGATGTTATTTTTCTTTCTGCTTTCTCCTAGCAATCTCCATTTCATAATTCTGTTTATTCCTTCTCAAGTGATTCAGTTATTTAATCATGATTGGGTATTTGTTGTTGTTGTTATTTTGGTATTACACGGTAAGTTTCTTAATGGCAGCCATCTAGTCATTCAATTGTTTAGCTCATTAGGCCCTACACATGGGTTGTTCATTTTTCAGCTATATGGACTTAAGTGGAAACCTGGCATGGAATTTACATATAACCAGCAACACATGAGTCTGTAAGGATATTTAGATTCTTCTCAGCAGCAATAATATATATCTTATATACACACACACATATAAGGTATTATATTTTTATATCACACATATATAAGGTATTATATGTGTGTGTGTTTACTGCTTACAACAACTCTTCTCAATCCTTTTATATTGTAGTAACCATTTTATTATAAATTCACCAAAGTTCATGGTTGGTTGTGTCTTTCATTACTGCATTTACCATCTAGCTTTCTGAAGAATCTTAAAGTCACTTCATTATTTTTTTAAAAAATCCTACTAGGTTATTACATAGTTATGACATTTACTTACCCTGCTGATTGAGTGTTCTGGTGGATACTTCAGTTAACTTGGTGATATTGGTGATAACACATGGTTAAAGTTAACGAATGATGAAACTTCCAATCTTAAAGGATGGACACTTAGGGTTGGTGAGGAAACCACCATTTCCACATTTTCCATGATAGCTCCAGCCCTCATTTATTTTAAAGTTCAGCATTAAAAAAAAGGATTGCAAAGTTTTATACTGGAATTCTTTTTCTCCTTTTCATTTGGAAAGAAAAATAGTTGGTAATTATGAAACTTGGGAGGGTTCTGTAAGACCTAACACTGACAAGAGTTTACCAATCCCTGTGTGGGGTTTGGGGTTGAATATAATGAAATTTGTAAGATTATGGAATATGTTGTTTCCTTGTGAAATAGATATTTTTTATTCTACTTTCTAAAACACGTGGCAATTAAGGATTAGTATCCTTTCTTTGAACACCCATTCTATTTCTTCAATTTTGAATTTACATTGCTTCCATCTAAAAAAGATTTTTTAAAAATCTGTGGTCACAAAATCTGATTAGATTAATGAATTTAATTCTCAATATTTCTTACTAAAATACTTGTAGTGGAACAAAGGATAGTTCAGAGAAATAAAGTTCACAGTTCACTTTTTTAAAAAAATGGTAAAGTAATACCCTCTTTCCCAGAGAATTAACCAAATTCTTCCTTATTTAAATACTGCATAAAGGATAAAGAGCCCTTATGTAAACTATGATTCACCATAAGAAATATAAAGGTTAGAGGGTCAATTAACATACTTCAATAGGTTCAGAGCTTTCTACTACCATACCATGTATTTGAACAACAGAAAATCTTAAGTAGCATTACTGTAAAAACTCCATAACCATAGTAATAAAGTTGTAGAGCTCCCTTTGAAGGTAACATATTTTGATTGATTGAATATCTGAAAGTTCAAAGAGCCTTAATTTTCTACCATAACAATGTGACTTTAGAGTGAATGAAAATCAGGAGGATAAACCTAAGTCCTAATTCTAAAGAAATAACCTGTTATTGCTATAGCACACATTCACATTTAAATACGAAAAATACCACACAGAAAACGGAAACATTTAAAAAAGATTTAAGATCATAAATAGGTCACTGTTGTCACAACACATTTCAGAATTGAAAAAACAAACATTTTGGCTTTTTAGGAAAAACTCCTTTTATATCAATTCCCTCATCATTGAAAGGACTTGTACATTTTTAAATTTCCAGTCTCCTAAGGCACGATATTTTTTTAATCCGAATGCCAACATCATCATCCCCTGCTGTAGGTAGCTGAAATAAGAGGCAAGGAATTAGCACTAAGAAAAACAGCAAAATTTTTTGGACAAAATCATCAGTCATTTAAGAAAAAACAAGAAACAGACTAAGTCATGATCATTTTAGTTAAGAAGGCCCAATCTTTTAATGTAGGACCTTCTGTTAAACATTTTTTTTAATCAAAGTATTGTAACTCAGATTTAATTCACCACAGAGGAGCTATGAAAGAAGGGGATTGGTAAAATAAAGCATACTTTAAAAATGACTTGGGAGAAAAAAAATCAAATTAGAATAGCATATGGAGGGGCAAACATTGTATGGAACCCACTTTACAGGGCTAATTTATTCCTAGTCTTCAGGCAGATCCAGAAGGGAGTTGTTGAGACTAGGTAAACATAATACCTAGGTCCATACTATATGGCATCTGTTCCTTAATCACACGGACCATTCTAGCCTACCACCCACCAACTGAGATGTACTGAAATACTATAACCAGATGCCTAAATTGTATTTTTTATCCAACCAAAAAAAGTTCTTTAAAATATATCATAAATGTAAAAATTCCTCATTTTTTACCCTGCCTTGCTTTGTCCTCTGTGATACCAACTGAACTTTAAGGTTTCATATGTAAAATGTGGTGTTTTAAGTGTTACTTTTAAAAGAAAAAAAAACCCCCACAAAGTTAGCGATTGTCCACAGATGAAACATAGGATGAGGTTCATGACTGAATCAATCATGGAGTGTTAGTCAACTGTAAACTCTTCAAAGTTAAGACTGGGAAATGTGTGTATCAGACACATTAGAGTACAACAGGAGAGAAAGGGAAGTCTGTTTGTCATTCCAATTCCGACAAGGTGCATGGTCTTCGAAATTCCTGTCCACGTTCATGGAGCCACTTATTGGATACTGTGAAAGAAAATAATATATTAATGTCCCCCACTATCTAACTAGTATTTTTTTTAACATCTTTATTGGGGTATAATTGCTTTACAGTGGTGTGTTAGTTTCTGCTTTATAACAAAGTGAATCAGTTATACATATACATATGTTCCCATATCTCTTCCCGCTTTCTAACTAGTATTTAACTAACGCCTAGGAGCTAGGACTATAATGAAGTTTCTACATGGGCTAAAAAAGTTCAAGACCAAAACCAGACAAAGACAGATGCTACTTAGGCTGTCTTTTTAAGAACTTCACTAAATGCTGGAAATAAAAAAGATTTTATATATATGTATGTACATTTGAGAATCTGTGCGTGTGTATTTCCTAAAGTTTCTAATGTTCAATGTAAGACTTGAGATGTAGGTACAGACAGAACAAAACACTGTTTTACCTGTTGGCAGAATACCACTTCTAATACAAAGACATTTTAAAAATGAACACAACTCTATGATTAATCTCTCTCGTATTATGTGCTCATCAAGTTTCCTTTGTTCCAAGATACTGTTTTTTAATATACCCCCAAAGGAATTAATTTCTTTCTCCTCCTCGTATATCATAGAACCCAATCAATGGCATCAACATGTATAAGATATTTAAACTAGCACTCATTCTTAACTACTTTGTTACCTTTCTTAACCTGTGTGTCCAATCTTTTATTCATCAAACCCTGTTGATTTTACTTCTATGATCTCTTCAATCTATTCTTTGCTCTCCAAACCTTTTGCTGCTGCCTTAGTCCAGGCTTTTATCATCACCCATTTAGACAACAGAAAACAGCCTTCTAAACTCATCTCTCCTCCACTAGCCTCTCTTCATTCTAGTCCAGTGGTTCTCAAACATTAGTTATCATCAGGGGAGTTCTTTTAAATCCTGATGATCAGGTATCACTCCTTAATCTTGCTATGTCCAATACGGTAACCTCTAGACACATGTAGCTACTAAGCACTTCAAGCGTGGAATGTGGCCAAGTGACACATACGGTAATAGATACATGGGGTTAAATAAATCTATATAAAAATAAGTTCACCCATTTCTATTTCTTTTTCTTTTTTTTTTTTTAATGTGGCCAGTCCTATACTTGCATGAACCTGAGAGTACCTCTCTGGCTTCATATGATTCCTGGCCCTGGTCCCTAACATGCCTGGAAAACTACTGCTCTATCTTCAAGACTAAATATAAAGATTAATTAAACTTCGAAGAAGCCTCCCTAAATGTAAGTAGTTACTGTCTTCTGTTTATATCTTTGTATTAGTATCTACTACAAGAGACAACTGTGAACCCTATGAGAGGAAGATTCAACTCTGAGTCAATTAACGTTTCTTAAATAATGAGTGGAAATAGTGTTAAAAATGTCATAAAAAATCTGATCTGTTGAAAGCAAATTTATATTAAGATAGAAACTTGCTTGGTTGAATCCTGAAACTTTCAGTGTTAAAGTCATATTAGGCAAATCTGTCAGGAGTTTTTTTTCACTTTCTTTTAAGATGTAAATTATAATAATTTTTAAATAAGAGACAAAAATCACAAATTCTATTCAGAGAATATAGGAAATATTTACCCCATTTGTTTCCAACCAGCACTGGACAGGCTGCATGCCGTGTACTATAATCTCCTTCTCCACTGGCAAACAGATTATACCAGAAAACGGCAGTTCCCTGTGGAAAACAATACGAAATTATCCCCAAATAAAGTATCAGGTTATTGCTTTTTATAGTAACTAAATTTTCCTCTGTTCTATGGAAATAATTCTCTATGGCAGCACTATATCTTCCTCTAATATAGTTCTGAAAGTATCATATAATGTACAAAATTTTGGTGATCACATGAAAGCATTAATATCAGCATTACTTAACAAAAAAGTGTATTTGCCAAAGCTAACACATCTTACAATAGCAAGTATCATACGGAACCCATTTTAGAAATGAAAACTTCTAAATACTAATCCCTGGTTGTTCATACCTCTAGGTACTCACGGTAAATTGTACAATATCTAAAATCTTCCCTAGACATAATGTAGTCCTTAAGTATACTACCTTTAAAAATGTTATTTACTACTTAGACTATGAAATATAGGTGCATATATTCCTCAGGGAAAAAAATACAGAGGACCCCCCCGCCTCCCAAATTAAAATAACAAGCTAAGCTTACCTTTTTGGGCCAAACACTAGCTCCTACTTCAGGAAAAACAGTGGCTCCTCCTGCTGACACATCACTCATCTAATAAGAGATGAGAGTATTATCGAAAGTGCTGGTAGAATAAAGTTAAACATGCCACTGTGAGGTAGATTTGATACTAAATACTAGAATGAGAATATCTGGACTTCTACTTACATAAATGGGTTTGTGCATGCTAGTCAGTTTTTAAAAAACAAGATGCTATTTAGGTTTACATAGATATATAAAAGCAGAGGAAAGATGGAAGTCAGCAAGGGAGACTGGGATATACTTTGGGATAGCTATTTCTTTTATAGCCAGAGGTAAAAAGAGATGATTTAAAACTGACAAATCAAGTAACATGGGGTATAAATATGTATTCTATAGCACTAGAATATCATCTCCATGGGGGCAGGAATTTTCATCTGTTTTGTTTATTGCTGAGAATAGCCTCAAAACAGTAGGTATTCAATAAATATTTAAATAAGTGACTTCAAACAAAACAGAACTAAACACCAAGAGAAAAGTAATAAACTAAAACCAGTTTTGTCATTTCTCATGGTAGGGTATCAACACATTAACTAAAAATTAGAAGATGAAAAGATTTATAAAGTTATATTCTTAATGGTGAATTAGAATAAAAACACAAACCTTCCAAATTAACTGAAGAAGCACATGCATAAAATGAGGCAAAGGAAACACAGATCATATAGTGAAGATTTTTTTCAAAAACAATGTAAGTAGAATGTGGAGTCAGACTAATGTATCAAAAGCAAAATCCAACTATATGCTATATTCAAGAGTCACATCTAAAACAAGTGATTTATAGGCAAATGCTGTACCAAAGAAGAGTTTGATCTTAGTATCAAGCACAGTTTAACTCTAAAGGCATTCAGTGATATAAAGAAGTGTATTTTACCATGATAAATATATAATCGATATCAAAGAGCTAATAGCTCTTAAGCAATGAAAAAATTAACTTCAGAGGAATTTAAAAGTTGTGCTATGTGGCCCATCTGAGAAAAGCATTCAAATAATGAAAAAAATGAATACTAATCTAATAAAAATGCTATATATAACTAAAAGGGGATATAATTATCTAATATATAGTCTGATAGTCACAAATAATCTAACATTTACGGATATTGGACCAAATAATATAGCATCAATTTTCTTGTATTTCTTTGCTTTTTTAAAAAAATTTATTTACTTTATGTATTTATTTTTGGCTGCAATGGGGCTTTGTTGCTGCGTGTGGGCCTTCCCTAGTTGCAGCGACCTGTGTGCCACAACTACTGAGCCTGTGCTCTAGAGCCACAAGCCACAACTACTGAGGCCTGTGCACCTAGAGCCTGTGCTCCGCAACGAGAAGCCACCGCAATGAGAAGCCTGCACACTGCAATGAAGAATAGCTCCCACTCACCGCAACTAGAGAAAGCCCGCATGCAGCAACGAAGACCCAACGCAGCCAAAAGGAAAAAAAAGTTATGTGCTGCCTTTTGGGGGATACTTGCTCTTAGAATTCAGCCTCATGCTATGAGGAAGCCCCGTCCACATGCTGGTATTCTGGTCAACAACCAGCCTCAACCTCAGCCTTTAAGGTGACCCCAGTGCCAGCCATCATCTGATTGCAAATGCATGAGAGATCCAGAGCAAGAACCATAAATGAAGCCCAATCAACCTCACAACCATGAAAGATAAGAATCAAACTGTTACTTTAAACCATTCAGTTTTGGGGTGATTTGTTATGCAGCAATAGATAACTGGGGCAAATATTATGATCAAAGCTTTATGTATGAATATATAAACAAACAATTAAAAAAAATGAAGATCATACTGTTTTGAAACTAATGAACAATGGGAGAATGGTTACCCTTGAGGAAAGGGCTTCTAGCGTGCTCTAATGTACTATTTCTTCTTGATCTGGGTGCTGATTATGCTAGTGTTCACTTTGTGAAAATTTATCAAGTTATATACGTATGATTTGTACACTTTTCTGATATGATATTTATCAATAAATTCAAAATAAAAGTTTATTAAGATAATGTGTATATATACACATAAATTCCTACAAATACATAGAGTTGCTTATATACACATTATAGATGACTATAGATGACAGTCCATACTCCAAAATATCACATTGCCTCCAAATACTGGAACTAGGTGTAATTTTAACTTTCTTCTTCAGGTTGTAATAAGTACAATCTGAAAAAGTTATAAATGCAAAGAAAAAATTCTTTACTCAGTTGTAAAAAAACGTTAAACTAGGATGTTAATCAAGAGCTAAACAGAACAAACATGTGAACACATCAAAATAAATGAGTCATGTGATCAAATCCCAACTTAAAAATTTTAGCTATAACTTACATAAAACAGCCATGTAGCAATTCTATTTCCTGTCCCCAGCTCTTTGAAAGCATCTGGCTCATCTTTCTGTGAATAAAACACAACTCAGTGGTATAAAATTCAGTAATGCAAATTCTCCAATGGCAACTAACATCATTAATATGCTGAATAGTATGCTAAAAACAGCCCCTAAAGGTTCCTTTATAATGTCCAGTGCACTATATATACAAGAGGCATTCAGATATTTGTTGGTTGTTGATTCAACCAGTACACTGAATACTTTTGATAAGACCATTCGGGGGAAAAAAACAGATTTGTTAGCCTATATAATGAGAACCAATATCTACTATCCACAGATTATTTTAAAAATTGACACCTATAGTTTTAGCTTCCAAAAAAGCAAGACATGAGAGTCTCTCAGCTACATTCATTAAGTCAATTCTCTGTGGGTAAAAAAAAATTTACCTTGAGATTTACTTTGAACTCATGATCCATTCAAATGTCACTGCTACTATTCTTGACTGTCTTTTGGGCTGTCAGCACTTTAATCTGGCTGGAGAATTCACGTCTGGCTATTTAAAGCTAAATTAAAATACAGTATAGTCTCTTGGCATTTTCCCAGAAAAATGAAAATCATGTATTTTTCACACAGAAATTTATACACATCAATTTGTCATATCCTCAAATTGTCCGTTAATGTCCTTCAAAGGATGAATGACTAAAACTGTCGTAGACCTATACCACAGAATACTATGCAGCAAAAAAAAGGAACACCCTGTTGATATGTTCTGCAAAAACATGGATGAACCTCAAGGGAATTATGCTGAGTGAAAAGAGACAATCTTAAAAGGATACATGCCGTATGTAACATTTACATAACATTTGCAAAATAATTTTAGTGAAGAACAGATTAGTGGTTACCAGCAGTTATGGATGGGAGGCAGAAGGGTATATGTAGCTAACAGAGCAGTACCGCAAGGGAGTCTTACAGTGATGGTGAGGTTATGTATCTTTATTGTGGTGGTAGTTACATAAAGCTACACATGTAATAAAACAGTACAGACAGACAGACATGAGTGCGAGCATAACTGGTGAAATATGAATAAGCTCTGTTGCTTGTGCCAACACCAATTTCCTGGTTTTGATAGTGTACTACAGTTATGCAAGACGTTAACACTGAAGGCGGCTGAGTGAAGGGTGCATGGGATCTCCCTGTATATTTGGGGGGAAACTTCCTAGGAATCTATAATTATTTCAAAATAAAAAGCTACGAAAAAAAATTTAGTTACATTAATGTGAGGACTTAAACTGTAGTCTTTCACATCATCCAAGATCCTCAGACATTTTTCAATAATTGAAAACAGATGGAAAAGAGACTAAAAATATATTCTTTGCTAGCCTGCCCAGAGAAAGAGTCTAGGATTCTGGGATTAAACCAGTCAAGGAATGTAATACAATACAGACTGTTTTCTTTCCAAAGAATATACTCTTATTAAAAAATGGTAATAGATCAAGAAGTTTATTAGAATACTTGGCACATTCCTTAGAATTCATGTAATTATGATAAAGCTTAAATTAAGATTTGGTAATGACAATTTATAGCTTGATATGTTAAAATTACTTAACTTTTTAATTTAAAAGGTTAAATATCTACTGATCTTAAGCAAGAGTACTTGGGCAAGAACAACTTTTTAACAAACTGCTTTAATATTATTTATTCTCCAGCCTCTGCATCTATTTTATGTTTATCTTCCTGTCTTTCAAAATGTATTCCTGTAATTTCTTCAGATTTATTGCCCAATTCACTGCAGCTGTCTCTAATCTGTTTAACTTATACACTAAATTTTAAATTTCAACAATTTTTTCGACCTAAAGCTTCTGTTTATTTTTCAAATACGTTAAATCATTTTGAGAATTCAGTAATTTTATCCTCTTTTATTTTTAAAGTATTAGTTATTTTTTTCTATTACTCTTAAATTTTATTAATGCCTTCAGTTTGTGCATAATTTAAACAAGGTATGTGCTTTAAAAAGCATTCTTATACATAAATAGATCAAGAGATGGTTAAGTAATTTATCCCTAAAACATGCACATCATTTTTATTCACGTGTGTGTAAGCAAGGGAAATAAGCTTTAAGTCTTGGGATTAAAGACATTTGGAAATTATTATTAAGGAATGCCAAATGTTTTTATGGAACAAATGTGTTTTCCAACAGGAAATGCTGATGTAATTAAAAAGGCATTAGTGTTGATAAAGAGGACTGAAAAAACATTTGCACTATACATGATCACCAGGAAAAGAGTTCCAGGGGGTTGAAAATATATGTCAAATAAATGAATCAGCATGAATTGAATGGTACAGATGGAAGAACAGGTTGCAGGTGCCAGATTATGTGACACATATAAATATTCAAGGCACATGACTAGGCTAAACAGGTGACTAGGTTTTACAGACCAATTTGTTCTTTCATTGGGAAAATAGTCAAATGTAATATAATGTCCATTTACTGGCATTTATTGATAAATAAGTGCAATTAGATCTAGGGCAGCAAATGTTGTCCTTTCAGATACACACTAGAAGTACACACTAGCTAACAGATGCCAGAGTAGCCAAAGCAGTATGATTACACTCCAGTCTTTTCACGCTGCAGTTACATGGATGTTAGCTAAAATGTCTTGCATTCTTTCATGCATCATACTGTCTACTCTCAAGTTTCACAAAATAATTCTTCAAAACTAGGCAGATTAACTTCTTACTAAACCGCAAAGGATGCTCAAACTATTATTCAACACCAGTCAAACCCAAATCCTGGAGTTGACTACTGACTATATTCAGTTTGGGCTTTTCCACTGTGGTTCTCTTCTTTTTCTTTGGTGAGCCAGAGGAATGTGCCTCCCCATTCTGTCCACTACCCATTCTATTATCTATACAATTGCCCTAAATATCCACCAAAGAAAAAGGAATATGTAAAAAACCACAACCTTCGACAATATTTAAACCACTGTCTTCTTAAATCAACTGCAATGGGGAAACAGAGGATATCAAGCTCTGCGAGGTTTGTGAATGATCAAAACTTTCTTCCTAAAAGTTAATAATAGGCAGACAAGGATGATTCTGTTTGCTTTTAAGAGGCTAGCAAAACGTTCCCCATCTCACTGAGATAAAATGTTTAATACTTTACCTGCTTGGGCTCCTAGAAACACCAACCATTAATTACAATTCCCAAAATAACAACAATTCTCCATGTATATTGTTTCCAAGCACTTAATACCCTTCAAAATCAAAGGACATTAAGATGAGATGTTAGCAATACTATCTGTCTCTTGAACTTTTGTGTGCACAAAGGTCATCCATAATTTCAGTAGACAGCTCATAAGACAGGTGGTTTCTAGCTGTGATAGCTTTGTGCAATTATAAACAAAAATGTATCTATAAGTAGATGACACTAGTTAACAAACCAAAGAAACAAAATGCCTTTTTAAGGCTACTGCTGCAATAAATGGTTCGGTCTGAAGTGCACTGGAATAAACTGGTTGATAGGACAAAGATAAATCTGGAGGCACAGAACAATATTAAAAGAGAGAAAGAAGAGGGTTGAAAAGACTGGTAGACACCATCTGTCAGTATTAAAAGGCCTGAATCAAACGGATTGCTTTTAACTCCCTGTTCTCTCGTATCCTTGGTTAATGATAACTTTATTTCTTCACACAGCTTGGCCACGTAAATCCACCACAGAGAGGTGACACAATAACATAGATGAATATGACTGATGAGATGATGATGATGACGGTGAGCTTGAGATTCTTCACACACATGGCTCGGGCAAGATTTCTGTTGGTTGTTTCGAAGGTGACAGACGAATCCACGAGATTTTCTGTTTTATCTATCAATAATTCCAATCTTTTGCCTTGCTGAGCCACCAGATCTATGTTTCTGACCATGATTCCTTTAAGTTCATCCACTTGGGCTTGAGTCTCCATCACTTTATCTAGGCCCTTATTCTTGGAGTGATGCTTCAGCTGTGCAGCCAAGACACTTGAGAACTCACTATTCATGGCATATGGAAGCACTGTTTGTGCTCTTGAACCGTACGTAGTCTGGAACCTCTTTTTTATCTCATTTAGAAAATTAAAGGCTCGGGAACGCTCAAAATCATCATCAGTGATACAAAGATATACAATCCTGTCTTGGCAGATGTAATGAAACAAATAATTGCCATGTAAGTACGTTAGCTTGTTATTTTCAGAAGGTATCTTAGCCAGAATCTGCTCTGTCACCTCCAGGAAGTTGCCTCCACACCAAGCATGTCTGGCAAGGATAGTGGTTCCCCTGGCAACAACAGCGAAAAGAATGGCCATGGCTTCGATCCGATCTGTCTGGGCACCATGTGAGAACTCGGGGATCAGGACAGAGTTGCGCAGGTTAGCGTGGGCTCGCCAACTGCCCGCTCCCAGAGGAGGCTAGACTGGACCTATATAGTTTTTTTATATTCTGTATCTGATAACTGAAGTATCTAACATCCCGGGGGCATGTGTATCTGTTGGCAGGCCTCTGCTTTCAAACTGCCAGAAAAAGCTCCCCATAACACATCATACTCCAGCTAGGATGCGAGAGGAAACTCTTCTGAAGGGTCTTGACTCAAAGCAGATGATTTTCTAGGCCATTCTTTCTTTCTCTGAAGGTGTAATCCTTTTGGAGATTTAGGTTTTATGCAGGTATCTCAGTTCAGTAGCCTACACTATAGCAGGTCCTCTCACAGAGCTATTAATCCCCAAAGCTCTAGATTCCTGGAGGTACATGCCTCCAGCCTCAGCTTTTTTGCTCCCTTTAAACACTCTAATTTTAGTTTCTAGGTTTTCTCTATTCAGTTTGCCTTTGAGAATTTCCTTTACTTTCTTCAAAGCTCAGCAATGCATTTAAAAGTATGCTAAGTTCTTTTACCCTGTCTCTAGGTATTTTTTACTGCTTTAAAAGGCTTTACAGAATATCTGTTCCACCATGCTTCCACAAATTCCAAATAAGCTATGAATTTTTTTTTTTTCAAGAAGATGTTGGGGGTAGGAGTTTATTAATTTATTTATTTTTGCTGTGTTGGGTCTTCGTTTCTGTGCGAGGGCTTTCTCTAGTTGTGGCAAGCGGGGGCCACTCTTCATCGCGGTGCGCGGGCCTCTCACTATCGCAGCCTCTCTTGCTGCGGAGCACAAGCTCCAGACGCGCAGGCTCAGTAGTTGTGGCTCACGGGCCTAGTTGCTCCGCGGCATGTGGGACCCTCCCAGACTAGGGCTCGAACCCGTGCCACCAGGGAAGCCCAGCTATGAATTTTTAATACTAAAAGAACAGAATTAACATGTCATGCTTAAGCTTCAGTGGAACTCCTTCATTCGCCTTTTTTTTTTTTACTTACCCGTGCAAAATCAAAATGGGGTTCATACTGTCCTCCAACTCCATAATTAGCTACCTGAAGGAGAGAAACAAAACATGAATGAAAGAACTATCAAGATTACTATTCAAAAAAACCTATGAGTCCCATTTTGGCCTCTTATATATCATGGTTAGGTACTTCTAAATAAATGAGAAGCAAAGCGTTTTTTAAATCAATAAAGAGTTCCTAAAAAACCAAGGATGAAAAACTAAGGATAGCTACTATATGCTATTTTAGAACCTTAGTTAATACGCTTTTCTTTAGCAAATGTTTCGGGGGACATGCTTTTCCTTAATATATAAGAAACTAAAATCTGAATTTGAATTTTAGAATTAAAAATTTCTAGAATTAGAATTTCAATATTTTTATTATTAATTCTTACTAAACACTTTCCTTGGGAATTTAAATCAAGACTCATGTTTTCCAAAGCCCAAAATGCTGGCAAACTCCCAATCTACTTTAATGAAATCCAGTTTCCTACATATTTTTTTTTCTCTACTTAGGTAAAAAAGGGAAGAAGTTAACACCAATTTAATTATTCCTGTTGGAAGGCCATGACAACTTCATTTGGATGTGACAATGCCCCAGCACGAAGCAGCAAAAGAAAGTAAGAGAAATATTTGGTCTGAGCTCAAGTTCCAGACTTCTTAGTTACAATGCAGTATATGTAACTTTGGATACAACCTCAGTTTTCTTATTTGTAAAATAAGGATAATGATACCTTCCTTAACTCCCTCCCTTCCATCCCAATATGACAAAATGCTAAGAAAATGAAAGGAGAATGTAATTTAAAGAGCATTATTGATGAAATGAAATGAGTGCATAATTAAAAGTGTTGCCCACAGCAAAGTCCAAGTCCTATGTAAATTGTTATTACTGTGGATATTTTACTTCATATGTTGTAGATGCCTTCGTTGGGTTGGATCAGACTATTAAGTTAGAAATATATCAAGTAGCCTGAAAGAGCCTGTGAAGGTTAGGCAGGTGAGAATAAATACAAATTAGGAAAGAAAAAGACACATCATAGTTTTTTAAATAACCAAACGAGTACCAAGGAAGTTGTAGATGACCATGGAGTAAATAACTTAATATAAGCAAATTTAAATTCGGGAAGTCCTGTTTTGCACAGTTTCAAAACGCACAAATCTCAGATACCATGGTTTAGCTAACCCTGGACACCAGACCCCCAACAACACAGTGGACATTTCAGTTACCATGTTACATCATTAACTGTGAGTAACTGCATAAAGTGCAAACATTGCTACTAGCTCTTCAGTCCACAAATTACTATACAAATAACAGCTACATATCATGATCAATGACCAGTCATGTCACTTCTTTCAAAGTTTATCAGTGATTGGTCACTGCATATCTGTTATTCAGTTCATGCGCAGACAGCAAAGCATGTAGTTATGCTGCCTCCTTATTTCCCAGTAAAAACCTATGTGATATTTTACAAAAACAGACAATTAGAAGAAGAAATTGGCCAACAAAGATACAGTACAGCAGAGAAATGGAAAGCAATAATGCTGTAAGTGAAATTCAAATCAAATTTAAATGGACTTGGTTCCAGGACAAGATCAGGGAGTAGAAGGACCTGAGCTCACCTTTCCTCTCGTGAAAACACCAAAATCACAACTAATGGCTGAAAAACCGTCAACAAAAAAAGACTGGAACTTACCAAAAAAGATATGCTACTTCCAAAGAAGAAGTCACAACAAGACAGTAGGAGGGATGCATTTGAGATACAAACAAATCCCATAAGTGTTGGGTGGCTGACCCACAAACTGGAAAATATTTATATCACAGAGGTTCTCCCACAGGAGTGAAAGTTCTGAGCCCCACGTCAGGCTCCCCAGTCTGGGGGTCTGGCATTGAGAGGAGGAGCCCCCAGAGCATTTGGCTTTTAAGGCCAGCAGGGCTTGATCACAGGAACTCCCCAGTACTGGGGGAAACAGAAACTCCACTCTTGGAGGGCACACACAAGGTCTTGTGTGCATGGGAACCCAGGGGAAAAAGCAGTGACTTCATATGAGCCAGGGTCAGACCTACCTGCTGGACTTGGAGGATCTCCTTGGGAGGTGGGGGTGGCTGTGGCTCACTATGGGGACAAGGACACCGGTGGCGGAGACACTGGGGAGTACTCACTGGCGTGAGCTGCCCTAAAGGCTGCCACTTTGATGCCAAGACCTGGCCCCACCCAACAGCCCTTAGGCTCCAGTGCTGGGACGCCCCAGGCCAAAAAACCAACAGGGCAGGAACACAGGCAGACAGGCTGCTTAAGTCTTCCTGAGCCCACAGCCGCCTCTAAACACATCCCTTGACACGGTCCTGCCCACCAGAGGGACAAGACCCAGCTCCACCCACCAGTGGGCAGGCACCAGTCCTTCTCACTAAGAAGCCTGCACAAGCCTCTTAGACCAGTCTCATCCACTAGTGGGCAGACACCAGAAGCAAGAGGAACTACAATCCTGCAGCCTGTGGGGCCTCAAACACAGAAAGTTAGACAAAATGAGATGGCAGAGGAAAATGTTCCAGATGAAGGAACAAGATAAAACCCCAGAAGAACTAAGTGAAGTGGAGACAGGCAATCTACCTGAAAAAGAATTCAGAGTAATAGTAAAGATGATCCGAGATCTCAGTAAAAGAATGGAGGCACAGACTGAGAAGATACAAGAGCTAGAAGATATAAAGAACAAACAAACAGAGATGAACAATACAATAACTGAAATGAAAACTACACCAGAAGGAATCAATAGCCGAATAAATGAGGCACAAGAATGGATAAGTGAGCTGGAAGACAGAATGGTGGAAATCACTGCTGTGGAAAGGAATAAAGAATGAAAAGAAATGAAGACAGTATAAAAGACCTCTGGGACAACATTAAATGCACCAACGTTCACATTATAGGGGTCCCAGAAGGAGAAGAGAGAGAGAAAGGACCTTAGGAAATATTTGGGGAGATAGTAGTGGAAGACTTCCCTAATATGGGAAAGGAAACAGTCACCCAAGTCCAGGAAGCAGAGGGTCCCATACAGGATAAACCCAAGGAGGGGCATGCTGAGACACATATTAATCATACCAACAAATATTAAAAGCAACAAGGGGAAAGCAACAAGTAACATACAAAGGAATCCCCATAAGGTTATCAGCTGATTTTTCAGCAGACACTCTTCAGGCCAGAAGGGAGTGGCACAATATATCTAAAGTGATGAAAAGGAAAGAACTACAGTCAAAAACACTCTACCCAGCAAGGCTCTTGTTCAGATTCAATGGAGAAATCACAAGATTTACAGATAAGCAAAAGCTAAAAAGAACTCAGCACCACCAGAACAGCTTTACAACAAATGCTAAAGGAACTTCTCTAGGAAGAAAACAAAGGGCCACAACTAGAAACAATTACGAAGGTATCACCTCACACTGGTCAGAATGGCCATCATCAAAAAGTCTACAAACAATAAATGCTAAAGAGGGTGTGCAGAAAAGCGAACCCTCCTATGCTGTTGGTGGGAATGTAAATTGGTGGTGCCACTATGGAGAACAGTATGGAGGTTCCTTAAAAAACTAAGAGCTACCGTATGATCCAGCAATCCCACTCCTGGGCACTTAGGAAGCAACCTAAATGTCCATCAACAGAGGAATAGATAAAGAAGATGTGGTACATGTATCGGTGGAATTTTACTCAGCCATAAAAAAGGTATGAAATAATGCCACTTGCAGCAACATGGATGGACCTAGAGACTGTCATACTAAATGAAGTCAGAGAAAGACAAACAGCATATGATCACTGTACATGGAATCTAAAAATGATACAAATGAACTTATTTACAAAACAGAAACAGACTGGCAGACTTCAGAAACAAACTTATGGTTACTAAAGGGGAAAGGTCGGGGGGAGGATAAATTAGGAACTTGGGATTAACATATACACACTACTATATATAAAATAGATAACTAATAAGGACATACTGTATAGCACAGGGAAATCTACTTGGTACTCTGTGATAACCTATATGGGGAAAGAATCTGAAAAAGAATAGATATACATATATGTATAACTAAATCACTTTGCTGTACACCTGAAACTAACACAACATTGTAAATCAACTATACTCCAATACTAAAAAAATCCCCTCATGCTGAGCCCCCCCCCCCCCCCCCCCCCCCCCCCGCCAAAAAAGAAATCAGACTTAAATGCAGACACAGAAGAAAAGGCTGACAAGGAAAATGCTTCTAACTTTTGCTGTTTGAGAAACTCTAGATACGCAGTCAGAGGAATGTGGTGAAGGTAAACTTACTAACATAAGGAAAGTGATCATGATGAAAAGGATGAAGAAGATGTCCTAGAGGAAGTGACTGGAAAAAAATCGACAATAAAAGATCCCTCAGAGATATTTAACAACATTGAAAGCACAAAGGATAAAATGTTGAAAGCTGATCCAAACTTAGAAGTATGACAATTTGCGAAGGAAAAGATGCTCACTCTGTATCATAAGTTTCACAAATGAGATGAAGGAACATAAACTATTCTTGGTAAGTGTTTACAAAGAAGTAAAACACTGTAATCCTCAATATTTCTAATATTTTATAATACTGAGACAATTCAATAGAGAAGACTAGTTTTCAACAAATGATGCTGGGACGATTGGCTAACCACATGAAAAGAATGAAGTTGGACCTCTTTCTTACACCATATATAAAAATTGACTCAAAATGGATCAAAGACCTGAATGTAAGAAAGAAAACCATAAAAATTGTAGGAAAAACCACAGGTGTAAATCTTTATGTCCTTGGATTAGGCAATGGTTTCTTAAACACCTTATGCCAAAGCAACCAAAAAAAAGACCTATCAGACTTCATAGAAATTAAAAATATTTTGCCAAAGGACACCATCAAGAAAGTGAAAGACACACCACAGAACGGGAGAAAATATTTGCAACCCATACACCTAATATGGGTCAAGTATTCAGAACATATAAATAACACAACTCAACAATAAAAACAACCCAATAAAAAATAGGCAAAGGATTTGAATAGAAATTTTTTCAAAGATATAAAAATGGCTGGGGCTTCCATGGTGGCACTGTGGTTGAGAGTCTGCCTGCCAATGCAGGGGACATGGGTTCAATCCCTGGTCCGGGAGGATCCCACATGCCATGTAGCAACTAAGCCCGTGCGCCACAACTACTAAGCCTGGCTCTAGAGCCCGTGAGCCACAACTGCTGAGCCCACGCTCTAGAGCCCAAGAGCCACAACTACTGAGCTTGCGTGCTGCAGCTACTGAAGCCCACGCGCCTAGAGCCCATGCTCCGCAACAAAAGAAGCCACCGCAATGAGAAGCCCATGCACCACAATGAAGAGTAGCCCCTACTCTCTGCAACTAGAGAAAGCCTACATGTAGCAACGAAGACTGAACAGAACCAAAAATAAATAAAATAAATTTTTAAAAAAATGGCCAATAACTCATGAAAAGATACTCAACATCATTAGCCATCAGGGAAACGCAAATAAGAACCATGATGAGATAGCACTTCAAACATACCAGAATGACCTTAATAAAAAAACTGGACAAGAACAAGTGTTGGCAAGGATGTGAAGAAAATGGAACCCTCATACATTGCCAATGGGATTGTAAAATGGTGCAGCCATTCTGGAAAACAGTTTGGCAGTTCCTCAAATATTAAAGTTACCACATGACCCAGCAATTACATATGTAGGTTTATACCCAAGAGAAATTTAAATGACATTTGTACGAAAATTTGTAGACAAATAGCATTAGTCATAATAGCCAAGGAGTGGAAACAATCCAAAAGCCCTCCAACTGATAAATAAATAAAACGTGGTATATCCAAACAAGAGAATGTTAATATTATTCAGCCATGAAAAAGAATAAAGTGCTGATACATGCTACAACATGGATATACCTTAAAAACATTGTCAAGTGAAATAAGCCAGATACACTAGGTCACATATTGTATTACTCCATTTATATGAAATATTTAGAATAGGCAAACTTACATACAGAAGGTAGAGAAGCAGTTGCCAGGGGCACTAGGGAGGGGGAATGGAGAGTGACTACTTAACTGAGGTTTCTTTGGAGGTGATGAAAATAGTGTTGATGATTGTACAATCATGTGAATATTAAAACCAGGGTAAATTTTATGGTATGTGAATTATTTCTTACTAGAAAACAGAAAAAAATAATTTATTAAAAAAAAAACTGCCATGGCCACCTGACAGGCCTACGAATGAAAAAAAAAAATCACAGTGTACTTAATAAATACTAGTGTTACATATTTTTCATTTCCCTATACGTTTATACTCAACAGTAAGAGTTTTTAATGTCTTGACAAAAAATTTTAAAGGTCACAGAACAATGTTTCCTACTGATTATTAAGATCACTGTACATGGTTTCAGCTTATATATTCACTTTTACAGTCTCAAAGTATCATGCAAATTGAGTACTGCCTGTATAGTGACAGAAAAAATCTCATCTGAAGCATCTTTTGAAGAAGTGTAGGATGTGAATACCTACCTGTAATTCCTCTGCTGTGGAGACATCTAGTCCTGTGAGATCTTGTATTCTCATATTAATTCGAGACACCACAGGGTTTTCATAGCCAGAGAGCCAGGCACTAAAAACAAGAAATAAATTATTAGTTTTACTGATAAAGTTTCAATACACGAAGACGAATAGCTGTCATTTAAAAAGCCCTAATATACAGGACATTAAGGCTTTATCTATAGGCATTTATACTTCATTTGCTTCTTTGATATGATTTTTTTTTTTTTTTGCGGTATGCGGGCCTCTCACCGTTGTGGCCTCTCCTGTTGCGGAGCACAGGCTCCGGACGCGCAGGCTCAGCGGCCATGGCTCATGGGTCCAGCCGCTCCGTGGCACGTGGGATCTTCCCGGACCGGGACACGAACCCGCGTCCCCTGCATCAGCAGGTGGACTCTCAACCACTGCGCCACCAGGGAAGCCCTTTGATACGATTTTTACTAATGATGTTGTAATTTTTAAAAGATGTTACATTCTACAGTTAGAGGTTGGAAAGGGAAAAAAACTAATACCATTTATTACTGAGTTTTTATGAAAACAGATGGATTAATGTAAGAAGACTATATAGGACTATCTACACTGAGAATTTTTTTTAATTCCGGAAAAATACATACATCAAAATGAAAACAACTGTTCCTTCTAGATAAGGTATAGGAACTGGCCAAGGTGAAGGTCATAGGGGTTTTAGCCTGATTTATATAATGCTAATGTTTTATAAGAAAAATTCATGTATTACTTGCCTAAATAAAAAAGTTTTGAAAGGTACCCAACACACCCAGTAGGATAGCTATAACCAAAAAGGTGTTGGTGATGATGTGAAGAAATTAGAACCCTCATATATTGCTGGTAGGAATGTAAAATGGTGCAGCCACTTTGGAAAACACTTTGGTAGTTCCTCAAATTGCTAAACACAGAGTTACCATATGACCTAGCAATTCCACTCCTAGGTATATACCCAAGAGAAATTAAAATGTGTGGTCATACCAAAACTTGTACATAAGTATTCATAGTAGCATTATTAATAATGGCCAAAAAGTGGAAATAATACAAATGTCCATCAACTGATAGACAGATACATAAAATGTGATATATCCATAAGACAGATTATTGTGTCATGAAAAGGAAGTAATGATACATGCCACCACACGGATGAACCTTGAAACCATTATGTTAAGAAAGATAAGTCAGATACAAAAGGTCACACATTATGATTCCATTAATATGAAATGTCCAGAACAGGCAAATCAATACAGAAAGTAGATTAGTGGTTGCCACGAGAAGGCAGTATTAAGGAATGACTCTTAATGGGTACGGGATTTTCTTTTGGGGTGGTGAAAATATTCTGGAATTAGATAATGGTGATGACTGCAAAGCTAAAAAAGACTAAAAACCACTGAACTGTATACTTTAAAGGGTAATTTTACGGTATGGGAACTATAGCTCAATAACATGGCACAGCAAAATTCCGCTCTCTTTTACATATGCTTTTTCCCAGTCTATTAGACTTTTTCTTTCTTCACTTCTCTCATCAAGCTTTGGTCCATCATTTCAACAGTATTCTTTTTTTGGGGGGGCGGGGGAGCCGCGCCATGCAGCTTGCAGGATCTTCGTTCCCCAACCAGGGATCGAACCCGTGCCCCCTGCAGCGGAAGCGTGGAGTCCTAACCACTGGACCGCCGGAGAATTCCCTCAACAGCATCCTTGACTAAAAGCCTAAACTCACCTGTCTGGCAAAAAACACAAGCCTGATGAATTTTTTTTCTCCAAGCTTATACCTATAACACCAAATCATATTAGAAAAAGTCATGAGATAGGGCAGATATGTTGCACTAAAAATTCATGAACACTGGGACCTCCTTGGTGGCACAGTGGTTAAGAATCCGCCTGCCAATGCAGGGGACACAGATTCAAGCCCTGGTCCAGGAAGATCCCACATGCCGCGGAGCAACTAAGCCCTGTGCACCACAGCTACTGAGCCTGCGCTCTAGAGCCCGCGAACCACAACTACTGAACCTGCGGGCTCCAATTACTGAAGCCCGTGCTCCATAACAAGAGAAGCCACTGCAGTGAGAAGCCCACGCACCACAACGAAGAGCAGCCCCCGCTCGAAGCAACTGGAGAAAGCCCACGAGCGGCAACGAGACCCAACACAGCCAAAAAAAACAAAACAAAACAAACAATCATGAACACTAACTCCAAATGGGCCTAACTCTCGCCTCTATTCTGAACCCCAACCCACCTCAGACTCCTTCACTCAGTGGATTACATATCTCCTACGTCACAGATAAAATAGAAACCATACAATCTTTTCCTTATACATAGTTCATTCTAGTTCATTCCAGTTCCAAGAGGAGATTTCTCTCCATTATCTAAGGCCAATCCTCTGCCTTAGATTCTATTACCTCCTGCCATTTTAGGAACCATAAATCATTGATGAGCCCTTCTACTCTCATATAATCAACATCTCTTTTCAATAATTCCTCCCACAGCTTTTAACAGGGCTTAAGACTTTCCCATTAAATAAATAAGCAAATATTTTTTCCCTCAATTCTTTCTCTCTCCAGCCACCAATTTCTTTCTCCTCCATCTTCAAGTCAACCTTTTCACTGACTCCTCACTTCTCAATCCATTCCAATTTAGCTTTAGTCCCCATCACTCCATCAAAACTGCTCTTGCTAATATCTCACCCATAACCCTACTATGCTCCTAAATCTAACAAGATTTTCCCATTCTCATAGTATTTGCTCTTTTAGTAACATTTCAGAATGTTCATCCTTCTTGAAACTCTCCTCCTGACTCATTCATTCTCCAGGTATTCCTTTAGTCTCTCTGGATATTCCATCCTGGTCTCCCTCACAGCCTCTCACACTGTATTTTGTCTTTCTCCCAGTGCCCCAGCAGCACTTATTCAACAATGTTTCTTCTTGCCCTAAGGCTAGTGCACATGCTCATCTCTACCCAGAGTATTCTTCTGCTTAACTTTGCAAATTTAAGGCTTTGGATTATCATTTTAGTTGTCTCTTCTTCAGAGAAGCCTTCCTTGACTCCTCCCTGTGCCAGACCAGGTTTTTGTTTTGTTTTGTTTTTGGAACAGTAAGAGGAAAAAGTTTTTAACTAATCACATGAAATTGACATGACATGCTATTATAAGTAAAGGAAGATAAATAATACTGTTACAAAATTTACATTTCTCACATCCATTTTAGAGGAAAATGCATTAGGATTTCTCTTGATCTGATGGACTGATTTCCATAAAATGGTGTTTTTTTTTTTAATAGTAAATAACAGTATATTTTCTCAGACTGCTAAGAAGTGGTCAGAAAGGCAACTATAAAATCTATAATGAAAACAACTGACAGGATTAGGGCTGTTTCATGAAATATTAAGAACTATATCTCTTTTTTGGCTGTTAAATCAATGCACCTTTTCACTGGTAAAGCAATTGTTTGCTGTACCAGAGAAAAGGTGCACTGATTTAAAGAGCTTCTTCTTAAGTAATATACATTCAATTGTTCAAAACTGAAGTGAGTTTTCTTTCTAATGTTGCCCTCTTTTGGAGAACAAGCAAATATCTTTGTCTTTTGTATATAGTTAGGCAAATATTGTGAAATGCAGCTCTTGTGATCTAAATTTTATTCCCTCACAATTAAACGGGGGCAATTAATTATTATTCGGAATAAGCCTTTGAAACACTTCCAGCTTTTAAAACAGCAAGGCTTCTGAATAACTTCTCAAAACTAGCTTTCCATTTTGGTGCATGACCTGATACCTGACACATTTGATCTGTATTTTAGTCATTTCTTCTAATATCTACACTTTGCCTTCAATAAGGGTTAGTGTTGTGGTTTCAAACAATTTTTACATATAAAATAGACTAAGTTTTCATTTCACGGAACTGAGTTTTTCCACTTATGTACCTGTGGAAGGTAATTTGAGCACACACATATTTGCATACATATTTGTGTGTATACATACACATTTTTTAAAGTAAGTCGCTTTTACCATTAAAATAAAGCTAGACAACAGGGAAACTACAAGGAACAGTTTGTCTTCCTTAGAAATCCTTTTCTAGGTTGAGAAGGGCAAGTACAATTTGCTGAAGGATTTGATGAAGCTCTAGTCTTTTCATCATGTGTTAATCCCACACTGTCATGTCTTATCACCACAGCTACATACATGTCCACTTCCTCAGTAGCACTAGCCTCGAGGTGTAATGTCTATCATAAACAGGACATTGCTGACCAAGCACTCAATACTGTTTGCAATCATTCAGCAACTCATTCTCCACTTTGCCCAATACTGGTATCAAAGTAACATTGACAACTCACCAATATCTTCCTCTGCACACTGCCCAAAATAGATATACACGTTCATTCCAGCTTCTCCATTTCCTAACTGCTGGAACTACATCTTCAAAGAATGCTACTTTCATGCACCCAGCTGTGAATGCTGCCCGCCACGCCACGTAGCCCTGAAGTTATTTCAGTACCAAGGTCTTTTGGTCCAGAGACATTTGCCAGCACACATTATCTACCACAGCACGGACCATCTATTTTGCATCATCCACTCCATTTCCCAGATGCTGTAGGGATCAGAATACCCCAACCCCATGGGAATCCTCTTCAGCCTGTTTCCTCAAAAGACTGAGGTCCTGGGACTTCCCTGGTGGTCCAGTGGGTAAGACTCCACACTCCCAATGCCGGGGGCCCAGGTTCGATCCCTGGTTGCGGAACTAGATCCCGCATGCATGCTGCAACTAAGAGTTTGCATGCCACAACTAAGAAGTCCACATGAAGCAACTAAGAGTCTGCATACCGCAACTAAGAAGCGCGCATGCCACAACTAAAGATCCCACATGCCGCAAACTAAAGATTCCACATGCTGCAACTAAGACCCAGCACAGCCAAAATAAATAAATAAATATTAAAAATTTTGAGGTCCTGCTGGCACTCCTCTTCTTTCCAAGAGGAAAGAAGTATCTTTGTCTCTTTGTTCAGATACTCAATGTTTTCTTTGATGTAAAGAAATTGTTCTTCACAAAACTAATCAAGTGGTACCTTTAATATCTAATGG